TGGGAGGGGGAGGGGGGGTAACCTTTAACTCCCCCGCCCCATCTCCCCACCCCGGCTTTGCCCCAGAGTCAGTGCCCCTGAGCCGGAGACAGACACAACAAGGTCAGGGTTGGAGGAAGGCTGCCCTTGGGGAACAGGTACTTTGACGCATTTGATTCTGCTCGGCTTATTAGCGTAATCGGAATCAATTATAAACACTTAGAGCGTGGCAGGTCTGTCACGTATGTCGGGGCGGGGGGTGGGGAAGTGCACCAATGGGCTGTGAGCAAGAGTTAGAGAGAGAGAGAGAGGGAACACTGCCCTCCGAGAGACTTCCCGCAGATGCATCTCAAGGTTAAGACCGTCGCTGTGACAACAGGATTTTGCGAGACATTGATGGAGCTCGTTGGCTGACTGGCCGGAGAGGGGTGGGGGGTGGGGGGGAGCGCAAGGAGGACGGGGGAAGAAGGGCGAAGGGAGGGAATCGTCCAGCCTTGACGAATGGGAGACAAGAGTGACATTGCCTTGTCAAAGGTCTTCTCTCTCTCTCGCTCTCTCTCTCTCTCTCTCTCTCGCCCTCCCGTTCCCCCCCGCCCGCCGCCAATCCTTCCGATTCAGACGCGCCCCGTTTCGCAGCGCCCCCTTTTAAGACCTTGGGCTCCTGCCCCTCTGAGACCCTGCCCTTGCCGTGTTTCACTTGGCTGCCGCGTTCCGCCCGCAAAGCACACAGTCACTACACCGCACGCTATGTCCCGTGAAGCGCTTTGAGACGTCTGAATGACCTGATAAGGCGCTGTATCAAACGCAAGGACTACGATGACTGTTTTTATTATAATTATTATTATTATATCCTCCATAAATACAAGAATATTATTCTTTTGAAGGGATTACGACCCCCGGAAAAGCCATCCGCCAGTCAACTAACAACCGGGTGTGCGTGGGGAGTAAGGAAACTTGCCTAAGGTTTGGTCCCGGGGAATCGAACCCGGGTCCTCTCGCTTGCGAGGCGAGAGCTCCAACCCCTGAGCTCAGACTGTGAGCTCCAAAGTCCCTGAAGTGGGTGGGGTGGTGGGATGGGGGGGGGGGGGTGGGGGTGGGGGGTGAAACCACAGCCTTCTGACTCGGAGGCAAGAACGCTACCGACCGAGAGGTAACGTGTAACCATAAGGTGCCCTTCAGTCGTGTGAATCAGTTTGAAGTGTGATTCCTACGTACAGAGAAGGTGTTCTGAGGAACACCTACACCAAAGTTCCCTTAAAGGGACATCGTTTCAAAGGGGTTGGCAATCTGCAGGGGATCGGGTTTTTAGGGTCAGATGGGTGTCTGACACACTCGGAAACCCGTCACCCGTTGCTTCAGGGTCTCCAAACCCGACTGAGAATTCCCCACACCCCCCCCCCGACCACACCCGGTCTCCCCAGAGAGAGATGGTTGGAATGGAATGCGCTCTCTCTCTTTCTCTCTCTCTCTCTCTCGGTCTCTCTCTCCCTGGAGGGACGCCCCCCCCCCCCACCCCCGCATGCCTAATTCCGGAGAGTGTTAGGCACAGGTTGCTGAGAGCCAAGGCTTGTGGGGGGGGGGGGGGGAGCCCAGAGTGTGCGTTGTGGGGTAACTGCTGGAGTCTAACCAGCTAAACCCACACATAGCTCGGCCATTGATATCGCTGTCTGGCCAAGCTTTCCCACTGCTTGTCCAGCGAGGACAACCCTCCCCGTTAGTTAGTTAGTCAGTTAGTTAGTTAGGGCTTTGGCTGTAGGGTTAACAGGAGCTGAGGGCCCACCCCCAAGTCCGACAAATTAGCACATTGCCTTCTCGTTTGCTGCGGGACGATTCCTAGTGTGTGACAGTGCACAAAGAGGCCATTCGGTCCATCGAGTCTACGCTGTTTACTCTTTCTTGCCTCTCCGAGGCTTAAGTCTGATAAACACCGACACATTGGATTTAAGTGGAGCCTTCTACGTCAGGGGATGTGTGAGGTGGAGGCCATTCAGCCCTTCGAGCCTGTTCCGCCATTTAATCAGATCCTTGATGATCTGTACCTCAACCAATCCTCTCCCTATATCCCTGACCTACCAACAATCTATCAATCTCGCTCTCGAAGGTGTGGATGGATCCATAATCCATAGCCATTTGGGGGAGAGAATTCTAGATTTCTACCACCCTCTGAGCGAAAAAATTCTGTGCGTGTGTGTGTGTCTGTGCGTGTGAAAGTTTCTTGGACCCACTTGTGTCTGACTTAAGTACCCTCTACTAAACCAATATCTTTTGTATCAGTGCCCTCTCCATGTCTGACAGGAGAAACATTTCATAATTAAGAGTTATTGGAACACAGAATGGTTTGCCACAGGCAATTTTCAGATGGTTAGACACAGAGGGAGCTTTACACTGTGTCTCGACTGTGCGGTCCCTGACCTGGGAGTGTGGGCGCACAGTGTAGAGGGAGCGTTACTGTGTCTCTAACCCTGACCTGGGAGTGTGGACGGACGCACAGTGTAGAGGAGCTTTACTGCGTCGCTAACCCTGACCTGGGAGTGCGGACGGACGCACAGTGTAGAGAGGGCTTTACTGTATCTCTAACCCTGACCCGGGAGTGTGGACGGACGCACAGTGTAGAGGAAGCTTTACGGTGTCTCTCTCTGTTGCCGAGAGCAGGACGTTGTGCAGAGCAGTGCTGTGAGGAGTGTATGTATGTCTGTGTGTCTGTATGTGTGTATGTACGCGTGTGTATGTGTGACCGCTCTGGTTGGCCTCTCTGTGAGGGGGAGCCCAGGCCTGTTCCGAAGGCGGTGAACGGAACAGAGATCCAGCCCCGCGTCAGCCCTGCACGAGAGCAGCCGAGCGGAGGTGATCGAAACGACAGAAGTCCTTCTAAATATAAACCCTGCCATTCTCCCAGACGTGAGGAAGTGTCACCTTCTCGAGATGCCGGATGCCTTCGGGGGCTCGGAAGCTCAAAGCTAACCAGAGAGAAAGAGAGAGACAGAGAGAGAGAGAGAGAGAGAGAGAGAGAACGAGAGCGACGGGCCCCTGTATTCAGGCGCCCCGGACCCGGTCGAGCCCTCCAGCTCGCTACCCTTGCAAGCCGTCGGGATCGAAAGCGCGAGCAGCGGAGTGAAGTGACGGCGTCCGCGAGCGCCTGCGGGGAGGCTGCTGCGCCGCGATCGGCCGCCGCGCTCGGCCGGGCGGAACACACGGTTAAATTCGCCACGCGTGAAGGGTTTTGAGACGTCTCGAAGACGCCAATGCAAAGATTATTAATTCTTATTATTATCTAAAGATTAATAAGGATTCTGCACCTCACCCCTTGCCCCCCACACCCCCCCCCACCCCCCACCCACCCTCCCCCCCCCCCTCTGTTGCAGCACACAGACACACCTGGATGTTTCGGTCAAGAAAGGGGGACAAAGTATGAACGTAAGCGATGATGATGATGAGGATGATGAAGGTACATCACTCGCAGAGGATGAGAGCGAGCTTGGGAAGGACTGTTAGCCGCCTGGTCCTGCTGAGCCTGTGGGCGGCGTCGTTGGGGGCCGGGCTGGCCGGTGCCCACGTCTGCCCAGAGGGCTGCTCCTGCAGTAACCAGTTCAGCAAAGTCATCTGTACCCGCCACGAGCTTCGGGAAGTGCCCGCCAGCATCTCCACCAACACCCGCTACCTTAACCTGCAGGAGAACGTCATCCAGGTCATCAAGGCCGACACCTTCAAGCAACTGCGTCACCTGGAAATCCTACAGCTCAGCAAGAACTTGATCCGCCACATCGAGGTGGGGGCCTTCAACGGCCTCAGCAACCTCAACACCCTCGAGCTGTTCGACAACCGATTGACCATGGTACCCAGCGGGGCCTTCGAGTTCCTCTCCAAGCTGCGGGAGCTGTGGCTGAGGAACAACCCCATAGAGAGCATCCCCTCGTACGCCTTCAACCGGGTCCAGTCTCTCCGCCGGCTGGACCTGGGGGAGCTCAAGAAGCTGGAGTACATTTCGGACGCCGCCTTCGAGGGCTTGATGAACCTCAGGTACCTGAACCTGGGCATGTGCAACCTGGTGGAGATCCCCAATCTGACACCGCTCAGCCGCCTGGAGGAGTTGGAGCTCTCCGGGAACCGCCTGGAGATCATCCAACCGGGCTCGTTCCAGGGTCTGACCAGCCTCCGCAAGCTGTGGCTCATGCACGCGCAGATCCAGCTGATCGAACGCAACGCCTTCGACGACTTGCAGTCGCTGGAAGAGCTCAACCTGTCCCACAACAACCTGACGTCCCTGCCCCACGACCTGTTCACCCCGCTCCACCGCCTGGACCGAGTCCACCTCAACCACAACCCCTGGCACTGCAACTGCGACGTGCTGTGGCTCAGCTGGTGGCTGAAGGAGACGGTGCCCAGCAACACCACCTGCTGCGCCCGCTGCCACTCGCCCGCCAACCTCAAGGCCCGTTACATCGGCGAGCTGGACCAGAGTCACTTCACCTGCTACGCGCCCGTCATCGTGGAGCCCCCGGCGGACCTGAACGTGACCGAGGGCATGGCAGCCGAGCTGAAGTGCCGGGCGGCAACCTCTATGACCTCGGTCAACTGGATGACGCCCAACGGCACCCTCATGACCCACGGCTCCTACCGGGTGCGGATCTCGGTGCTGCACGACGGGACCTTGAACTTCACCAACGTGACCATGCAAGACACCGGCCTGTACACCTGCCTGGTCAGCAACTCAGCCGGCAACGCCACGGCCTCCGCCACCCTGAACGTCTCGGCGGTCGACACCACCAACAGCTACAGCTACTTCACCACCGTCACCGTGGAGACGGTCGAGGTGGTGGACGAGCCCAAGGGGGCCGAGTTCGAGCCGGGACCCACGCCCTCGGGAGGCTGGGACGCCTCCTACTCTACCACCTCGCTGGCCCCTCGCAGCACGAGGACCACCGAGAGGGTCTTCACGGTGCCCATCACCACCGAGGTGATGGACAACATCATGGCCGGGTTGGACGACGTGATGAAGACCACCAAGATCATCATCGGCTGCTTCGTGGCCATAACCTTCATGGCTGCCGTCATGCTCATCATCTTCTACAAGCTGCGGAAGCAGCACCAGCTCCACAAGCACCACGGGCAGGCCAGGACAATCGAGATCATCAACGTGGAGGAGGACCTGGGCGAGCCCACCACCGGGGACAACTGCCTGGCCCTCCCCGCCGTGGAGCACGGGCCCCTCAACCACTACACGGCCTACAAGGCCCACTACAACAACAACACCAGCGCCCTGAACTGCACTAAGAACCCGCTGCACAATTCCGTCCACGAGCCCTTGCTCTTCAAGTCCAGCTCCAAGGAGAACGTGCAGGAGACGCAGATCTGAGCTCTCACCTGTGCGCGGTTTCGAGGCAATGGTTCTTTCCGACGGGACCCGACCACCCACCTCCATGCCACCCCCCCCCCCCAGCGGCCATCTTGTTACATCGCAAGAGATTACCCCCTCTGCCCTCTTGCTCTCCCACTCCTCGCCCCCCGCATCCCCCCCCATGACAATCCAGGACTGCCCCCCCCCCCCACCCCGTTGAGGTTGACGCACTCCACTGTCGCCGGGTCTCACCGCAAATCACCAGGAAGGATCCCAAAAAAGGTCGCCGGCCATTCACTGTGTGTCTCCCTTTCGGCCGCTGGTGAAGAGAACCGTCTCTCTTGCTCTCTTTTTTTCTCTCTCTCTCTCTCTCTCCAAAAACAGGCGCCATTTGCAGCCGTCAACTCCCAGGCCTGGCTGACCTTGACCATTGAACCAACGGGCGGGGCCATCCTTGACCTTTGAACCAACGGGTGTGTCCATCCTTGACCTTTGAACCAATGGGTGTGACTGCCTTTGACCTTTGAACCAATGGGTGGGGGCCATTTTGACCCTTGAACCAACAGCCACAACTCTAAGTGATGGAGCGAGATTCTCACCAGAGCATTGGGCGGGCGGCGGGCGGCGGGCGGTGGGGGTTGTGTGGGACCTTCTCTTATTGAGAGTCCAAGGATCTGACTCCTCCAAGGACCTCTCGCTGGGGGAACGTGTGAACCAGAGGGGTGGGTGGGGTGGGTGGGGGGGGGGGGGAAAGAGTGTTGTCGGGTGGGTGATGGGGTGGTGGTGGGCTTCGAGACAAAGATAAATTTGCGATGGAGTTTTGGGAGAGAAGCAATTGAGACGAGTTTAAGAAACTTTGGTGGGATCCCTCTCTCTCCCCTCTCCGCTCCCTCTCTCGCTCAACCAAACTGAACTGGACGTGAGGAAGGAAGGCAGACATTTTTTTTTCCCGCAGATATTGGTCTTCATTGTCGGGGTTCGTTCAAAGCTACGCCGGCAATGACTTTTAGAGGGAGGGCTTTTGGATGAGGAGAGGGTTTGGGGGGGGTGGGGGTGGGGGGGTGTGGGTTTGAGATGAAGGAAGGAGGTGATTCCAAACGGTTGATCATACGCCATTTTTAAGGACCTTAGCGTTGACCTTTTATTGTACGGGGGAGAGAGGGGGTTCTGGATAGAAACTGCACTCTCCTCCCACCGCCCCCCCCCCCCCCCCCCCAACTCTCTCACTCTCTCTCTCACACACACCCTCCCCCTTCCCTGTTCTCTCTCATTCCAACAGCCATCGAACATCGCACACGGAAGAGTGTTTTCCGAGTCGCTGATCGCACAAAGCGCACAACAGCTCTTGAAATTCCAAGCCCTTTCTTTCCAACGTTACAGGGGAAAAAGGGGGAAGGGGAAGGGGGGGCAGGGAATGGAGGGGGAAAGGTGGAATGGAGGGAGAGAGACGGAGAGGCTTTTCAAACCGTTTTTAAGGAGAAAAACGCGCTTTTTACAGTTCCCGTGTCTTGTTGAAAGAGAAATGATCCTTTAAGTCCTGGAAGAGTCCCTGTAGCTCAGGGTTTAGAGCCCTCGCCTCGCGAGCGAGAGGACCCGGGTTCAAACACACACACACACACACCTCTGTTTACCAAGCAGGAACCCGGCAATAATCCCTCCAAACAAATAATAATTTGGTCACTCAATTCACGACTGTCTGTGGGACGCTGCTGTGCGCAATTGGCTGCCGCGTTTCGCCCACAAAGTACACAATCAATTCACTTCATAGCGCTTTTAGACGTCTCGAAGACGTGATAAGGCGCTGTTCAAATGCAAGGATTATTATTATTATTATTATTATAGGGTGATACTAAGATGGACAAGTAGCTGGAAGCTTATCTACCATATAGGCAAGCTGTATGGTTTCGGTTGGTCAAACCTCCTCAGTGCGCGTAGGAACATTCAGCCCCTTGAGCCTGTTCCGCCATTCCGCGAGATCACAGCTGATCTGTACCTCAACTCCAATTAGAGTCACTCACAAGTCTTGGCTCTCGCCAGATCTGCAGCCATTTGCTTTCCAGGATTAGGTAAAGGAGGGTCTGTCGTTTGATGGAGAAAGAGGGAAGGAGAGAGGGAGGGTAGAGGGAGGGAGAGAGGGGGTGGGGTGGGAGATAGACAACAGGGAGATGTCCACACATAGATGGAGCTCTCAAGTGATTAGGTTATGGATACTCTTAAGGCAAGGTGGTCCAATTGGCGGCCCGCGGGCCGCATCCGGCCCTCTCCCTCCCTCCATTTCATCTGATCCTCCTGCTCCCTCCATGACCCATAAATGTTATTTTTCTGGAAGGGAAAAACAAAAATATTGCTTATGGGGCACACAGACATTTCTCAAATAGGACATCTGGCCCTCGGCAGCCAAAAGGTTGGACCCCCACCACCCCAAACCCCCGCTCTAAGGAATGGCGACGGGTTTCCACGAGGGTGAGGGTGGGGTTGAGGGGGAAATCAGAGGGAGGGAGCGATGGGGGAACGGAATGGGGGAGAGGAAAAGGAGGGCTCACTTTCGAAAGGTGTTCATCTGCGACTTCTTCCCCTGAAGGAAGAACAACAAGAACAACGGATTACATTTGTGTAGCGCCTTTCACGTCAGGAGGACGTCCCAAGGCTGGAAACTATCTCCACGGTGAGAAGAGAGAGGGACAGATCGAGGGGAGGGAGGGAGGGAGGGAAGAGAGAAGAGAGAGAGGAAGAAAGAAAGGTTTTTTTTTTGAGAAGCCAACAGTACAGACCCCGGAAATTTCAATCTCATTGCGTTATTTTCTTGTAGTTGGTATTTTTAAGTCTTATTTCAAGGCTCATATATGAAAACAAATGGAAAATGTGAATTTCTTCTTTTGTTGGACCGTTTTCTCCTTTTACCGTATGAGAAGGTGTTCAGGTTGACTTGTCAGCAATTTGCTCTGTGGAAAAACTCCTCTCGTTTCCCCCCCCCCCCACTTCGCTACCCGCCCCTTCGCCTCGCGAGCGAGAGGACCCGGGTTCGATTCCCGGGCGGGTCGGGGCGAAATCTGAGGCAAGTTTCCTCACTCCTCACACGCACCCACGCGAGCCTCTGTTTGCCAGGCAGCAAGTAGGAACCCGGTTGTTCCGGGGGGTAATAATCCCTCCAATAAATAAATAAAACAATAATAATTTGGTCACTCAATCCACGGCTGTTTGTGGTATTTTCGCCCACAAAACACACAGTCACTACACTTCACAGTATACCCTGTGGAGCGCTTTGAGACGTCTCGGTGACGTGATGAAAGCTGGATTATTGATTATTATTATTATTATTATTCTCGAAGGCACAATCCCGAACAGAGTTCAGATGATGAAGGGAGAGAGAGAGAGAGAGAGAGATGGAGACAGGAATATAATTATAATAATAATAATAATAATACTCCTCGCATTTGATACAGCGCCTTATCACGATACGAAGCAGAGAGAGGCTTGAAGGGGATGTGGGGATAGGGGGATAGAGCAGGGGCGGTGGGAATGAATGGAAAGCGTCCTGTTAGAGCCGGTGAAGACTAGCTGGGCTGAATGGCCTCCTTCTACGCTGCACATTTCTATGATTTCATGGACGGGGTTGAGTTGGGATGAGGTGGTGGGGGGGTGAGGGGGTGGAGAGAGAACAGAGAAGGGGGAGCGGAGCTCAATGAGGGAACAAATAAAGGGCGGGCGGGCTGGGGGGTGGAGACCGGGGTTGCACAGTGTGCGCAGTTTGGGAAGTTTGGTTTGTGTTAAGCAATAATGGCGCCACGCGGATTGGAAGAGATGACAACAACAACAACAACAACAACAACAACAGCGCCTTTCACGTTCAGGAGTGAACAGTCAGGAAATCCTCACCCGAGCTGGGGGTTGGGATCTGGAGGGCAGGGAGGGGTGGGGGGGGGGGTGGGGTGTAGGAGGGTGACCGAAAGCAGCGGTTCGGAGAGGAGGGAGAAAGAGAGAGAGAGAGAGAGAGCGCAAAGGGACCTGATTTCTAATGGGCTATGTTGGAGGATGAGGAGAGTGAGTCAGTCACGGGTGTTCCCTATTGGGAATGAGGGAAGCAAGGGTGTACGTCCTGGTTTCCGCAGAGATGGTTAAGAGTCCTCAGCTTATTTACTCCCCGGCTCCTCCATCCAGTTAGGCATCTCTCTCCCCCCCCAAACCCCCACCCACCCCCCCACCCAAACTCCCTCATCGAACAGGTTCAATCAAGCTCTCCCAACAGATGAGTCAAAGCACTGAGGCCCTGCAGAATAACATGTGTTTTTTTTTCTCTCTCTCTCTCTCTCTCTCTCTCTACATTTCTAATGAATATCATATCATGATGTGGAACTAAGACCTTTGTACAGAATCATACCAACTGTATTCTCTTTAAGTAAAACAAAAAAAAAAGTATGTCCATGAGAGAGGCAGTTACTGTTGTCTCAAACTGTTCCTTTTACAAGTGTTATGTTATTATAGATTGAAAGGGTTTTGGATTAAATTTAATACCCAAATCTTTATCTTGTGCTTATTCTCTTGCGTCCCTTCTCACCCCATCTCTTCTCCCTGCTATCCCCTCGGCATCGTTAATAATAATAATTCGGCAACTCGCTCCGTTACTTTGTGGGGACGCTGGTGTGCGCAATTGGCTGCCACGTTTCGCCCGCGAAGCACACAGTCACTACCCTTTCCAGCCGATCCCCTGAAGCGCTTTGAGACGTCCGCCGGGATGTGAAAGACGCCATATTACGTGGAAAGGTATTCGTGTAATAATAGCGAGGCTCCGATAACTCGCTGCAGGGGGGGGAAACAGCACAAATAACTTACTTGTTGTCGACCAATTATCCGAAGTACAACATCTCGAAAGTACCAAGTGCTCGAACGACGGCAACGACGACGACGACGACGACAACAACTTGCCTTTACACGGCGGCCCACTCGCGCACGGCAGCGTCCCGGAGACCTGAAGATGGGGAAGGGAGGGGAGCGGTGGGGCAAGGTGGCGGCACAGAAGTGGGGGTTTGGGGTGGTGGTGAGGGTTTGGGGGGGCGTAGTGACTGAAAGCGGGAGGCAGGAGCCAGTGGAACAGGA